TGCCTGCAGGGTTTATAAAAAGGAGGATTCCTGTTGTGATTGTGAAAGCTGATAAGCATTATCCATCTAAGGGTCAACTCCGATTCAAGAGTAATAAATCACTGCGCTTAGGGTTTTCTGAGTGTATCTCCTGTTAATTTTTTATCAGTTTTGGTTGATTGGATACCGCAGTATTCCAGTTTGATGTCTGCTATGATTCAGTTGTGATATTCTTTCTAATGTTTACCAGCCATTGCATCAACTTTTGGTAATCTAAATAAGTTCTATTATGGGAACACTAAAATATTTGTCAAAAGAAACATGGGGACATAAGTTACTTGACTTTCAATCGATGTGCTGGTGTAATTACTCTTCTAGGTTAGCTGGCTTCATGTATTCTTGTTTTTTTTATTTTTATGTTTTTTCTTGTTTCTATATTATATTAGGCTTCTGGAATCTCTCGGGTTATGGGAATATCCTACGTTGAAAATTATGCTTCGATTGCAATCTTTTTAGTTGATTAGAGATTAGAGTATGTCTTTTTCTTCAATATGTTTCTTCTTTTCTTTCCTTTTGTTTTCCTTCTGTTGTGACGAGGTTTCTGTTAATCATAAGCCATTGTAATGATCGGTACTTCCACTGTTGACCGCTTTTAAATAAGTGAACAAGTAACTAATTTTGGAACTGTATATTTTGTATTGGTTACTGAATGGCTGGAGGTTTAAGAAGCTTTGCAACTGGTATCATTCCCTCTTTCTGCATTCATAAGAGATAATTTTATACTGTAACTCTTAATTAAACTGGACCGGAGGGAATATTAACAATGATCTTATAATTGGTGGTTTGACAGGTCTACGGAATCTAATTGGATAATTTCAATAATTTCCCCTCACTTGTTCATGATTTCGTCAAATTTGGATTCAAAATGGACTTTCATTAGAAATGATTGCATGCATATATAAAAAAATATATATATATTAAAATTTGACTTGGAAAAATACTAACACTACTATAAGAAAATGGGACTGGATTGACATTTGACGCGTGTACGTAAGTCAAGCTCTCCTTGTCAGTCGACGAAGATTGGTCAACATCATTGTCGGTCGGCCCAGATAATTCGGCCGACGCAAAAGCCGAAAGGTGGTGCTTTTACCGTAGGAAATTAGCGCCTGTCTTTTCTGATTGTCCCACGGCTCCGCCTCCTCGAACCCTCATTTCGCAATTTACAGATAATTGACTGATCAGTGTTGACTCAGTAGAGTGATTTTTTTTTTTTTTGATAAAGGACATAACATTTAATTAATCAAAGTGATAATTGTACATCAGATTTTCGAGACGCTTTAGCTAATCTATGGGGTCCTTCAACTATCTCTTTACTAATCTTAATAATATTCCTAAAAAAACTAATTCTAGAATTAGCTTTCACTATCTCCTCTATTAAAGAAGTCAGATTATAGGGGCAGATTTTCTTCTCAAGAACGAAATTTACTACCTTCTGGCTATACATCTGCAATTGACAGTCACAAAAACCTCTGATTGATGCTGCTTGTAGGCCCAGTAAGCATGCCCGACCCTCAGCATCTTCCACTGAAGTTGCTTGAAAGATATCCGTTCCTGATGCTATATATATGCCTTGGTTTGAGACAATTTCCCAAGCTCACGCCCCATGTCCCGACTTCAAATCATATGCCGCACCCGTTCTTATGTAGAAGCAACCCGTCATGAGTTCACTCCCTATCCTGTCTGGACCGTGGTGCTGCATGTTGCGAGGTGGGAGATCCTGCATAGTGGAGTTGGTCCTCCTGAAAGTTTGCCATTCCAGTTTCGCCTACAATGTCACCTGTCCTGGATCCCATATTTTTTACTCACAAATCACCTTATTTCTCGCCCACCAAATATTCCATTGAATGAAGAAAGACTATTGGATTAGCTCTTTATTTGGTGTTGTCAGAATCCAGCCTTGGAGCCAGTCAGTCAGCGTGATAGGCGGCCTTCTGTCAAAGTCGAAACCCAGTTTTGAGGCTCGCGAAATTCTCTTAGAATGTTCACAGTCGAAGAAAATATGTTGTGTATTCTCTGGGTGCGAAGAACACCTAGCACAAATTGGTGATACTTACACTCCATGACGAATTATAGCCGTATTTGAAGGGAGCGCATGGTTTGCCATTCGCCAAACCAACCATTGTATCTTGGTCGGGACTCTGATATTCCAGAAATGCTTCCACGCTGATGAGTCTAAAGTCCCCGCTTAGTTGGAGGAGTCTCCTTGTTGATCCTGACATATCCTTTGCCTTGCTTCGTGATATCCACTTTTAACCGTGTATATATCTGAAGGAGATTTTTCCCAGACTCTTCGATCTTGTGCAATCAGTTGACCTTTAGGTATATACATTCTTATTATCTTTTGGACTGTGTCTGAAGGAAAAATTTCCCTGATCATTCCCTCCATCCATTCTCTGTTTTGGTCCCATAGATCTTGAACCTTTAGATTGGCAATCTCTCCTACAGAAGGAGTTCCCATCAGGGGATTTACTGCATCTTGGATCCAATTCTCCAGTATCATCGCCTTTTCTCGTTTCTTTATTTGCCACTTTAAGCCTGTTCGGAGTAGCTCTCTTCCCCAAAGTATGTTGCGCCAGCCCCAGGATGAATTCTTTCCACTCTGACATTCCATGAAATCTTTTCCTTACGCGTATTTAGCCAGAAAAATCCGAGCAAAAAGTGAGTCATGATCTGCCATGATGCCAAGCCATTTTGGCTAAAAGGGCTTGATTCATTTCCTGTGCTGCTTTGAAGCCCAAACCACCGTGTAGCTTTGACTTGCATAGATGGTTCCATGCTTTCCAGTGAATGGATCTTCCCTCCTTATCAACATTCTAAATAAACTTAGCTACCGTTTTATCAATCTGTTTCGTGATACCTTGGGGGAGCTTAAAATTTCTCATCATATAAATTGGTAGTGTTGCCAGGGAGTTTTTGCCACAGTTATCCTTCCTGTTATTGAGAGACTCCTGTTTTTCCATGTACTCAGTTTCGTCTTCATTCTCTGAACTATATCTCCAAACAATAAGGATTTCCTCTTCATGAAGTCTAAGAACAAACCCAGGTATTTTTGTTGGCAGCCTCTGATGGGTATTTGGAGCCAGGAGGACATCCATTCTCTAAAGCGTGTTCCCATATTTGGACTTACCAGAATGGTGGATTTCTCAAAATTAATTTTCTGTCCTGATAGAGTCACATACTGTCTCAGGATGCTCTCCAGCATTCTGACATTTTGTCGCGTTCCTTCTATGAAGACCAAACAACCATCCGCATACATTAGGTGTGTAAGTCTTGGCATTGATCTTCCTATCTTGAGCCCGAAATTCCCTCCAGTTTGATCTAACTTGAGTAGAGACGTGGATAATACCTTTTGACATATAATGAAAAGATATGGTGATATTGGGCATCCCTGACGAAGCCCCCGTTTTGGTGTGAAATAGGCAGCTTGACTTCCATTCACGCATATCGAGAAACTCACTGTCGATACACAGCGCATCACAAGATTTATAAAAATCGGAGGGAATCCCATTTTGCCCATTACCTGCTCCAAGAAAGACCAGGATACTCTTTCATAAGTTTTGCTATTATCGATCTTAATTGCAGCTACTCCACGCCTTCCTTTCTTCTTTTTCCTAATAAATTCAATGGCCTCGTGATCTAGAAGTATGTTCTCTCCAATGTAACGTCCCAGCACAAAGCCATTCTGTCCTTCTGAGATTATGTTCGGTAAACCTGTTTCAACCCATTTGCAAGGACTTTTGCAACTATCGTATACTTGACATTCGTCAAACTAATCGGGCGAAAGTCTGCTGGGGTTTCTGGATTACCCTTTTGAATAAAGATGACTTTCATCTGATTCCACTCCCAATCCCACTGCTAGTTCATGAGAAAATCTAGGCATGCCCGAGTGACATCCTCTTCAATTAGTGGCCAAAATTGTTGATAAAAACAAGCTGGAATGCCGTCCGGCCCCGGGGCTTTCCAGGGAGCCATTTCTTTGACTGCTGCCTCAATCTCAGCGGAGAGGAAACGAGTGTTTAACCTTTGTTGTTGTTCCAAAGACACTACTTCCTCTATTTCCTCTACAAGCCGCGGTCTTGCATCCCAAAGGTCGTCCTCATGTGTGTCCTCTGGTTCCATTAAAACCCCTTGGAAATGCTCTTTCATTGTGTCTTGAATTTTCTCTTGATCATAGATCCACCCCTCTACTGGATTTCGCAACCCATTTATCCAATTTCTCTCTCTGCTCTTAGTCGCCCATGTGTGAAAGTATTTGTATTTTGATCCCCTTCTTTGTTCCAGTGGACTCTTGCACGTTGTGCCCAGTACTCATTTTGGCATGTCAATAAATACTCGAGCTCTCCTTTTTTCCTTCGCAATGATTTAAACTAATTTGCAGCATGCTAGATAATTGGTGTGATGATTGTCTCCTTCTGTGTGATCCTGCACTTCCCATGTTTTCCTTATGATTTCCTGTGCAGCTGCATTATTTGCCCAGAAGGATTCAAACCTCCGTGGCTTCATGTTTGTATCCGATGTCTCCAGTCTGGTGTACAGAATGAAAAAACCATGATCCGATATTGCAAATGGGATATTTAGCACATATGCTTGCAGAAAAACCTGTGACCAGGAAAGACTCGCAAAGGCTCTGTCTAGTCTTTCCAAAATGCAGTCTTCGCCTTTTCGATTGTTCAACCAGGTGAATCTATTTCCTCTAAAAGACAGTTTCGTCATATCCAACCGATCTAGCAGAGCTTTCAGGTCTTGCGTCTGAGTATCCTTCAACTTATTGCCTCCTTTTTTATCTTCATGTTCTTACACCTTATTTATATCCCCTAATAATACCCATGGAAGATCATACCTAGCAACCCAAAGTAGGATTTCATACCATACTACATGTCTTTGGGAGTGTTCCAGGTGTCCATATACAAAAAGGAACCCAACTTGGACCCCGGTCACATCCGATCCTTTAGCTACAATTACATGTCCAAATCATGTCTATGTGGTTGGGTCACCAGTTGGTCCATGACTTCAGTTGCTGTAAGCCTCTGGAAAGGTCTTGGACTTTGAAGGCCTGCTTTGTCGATCGGGTTCTGAGACATTAGACTATACTCCTGGCTTTCATTGTTTCTCGAAAAGAACCATTGCCCCATTCGTTGTCCAGTAGTGCCACTATCTGACCCATCTTCTGCAGGTAACCATCCTGGCTCACTCATCCTCCAATAGTTACGACCTTGGCATCTATGCTCTCGAGTTGCCGCCCAGTTGGAATTGCGTCCTTGACGAAGTGGTTGTTCTTTTGGATGATCTGTGCAGAAACGTGTTTCTGCCATCTGAAAATAATTACGAGCATTCCTGTTTTTTATGACACATGTCTGTACCTCCTTTGGCTGCCCCCACCTTATTTTTTGTTACCTGTCAGGCGCCATTGTCGACGGTCCATTGTTTCTGCCAACACCACCTGTAGCATCCTGGGCGCATCTTCCCTCGGTACTAGACTGTCAATTAGCATATTATCATTAGAAGTTAAATCATGTCCCACGTTTTGAACAGCGTACCTCCGGTGATTCCTAACCAGCTCCAAATCAAAAGATATATGAGCCGATTCCACCTTGTTTCTGTCAAGCTGGCTGCTGTAAACGAAGCCGTCTAGAATTTCCACCTCCCCCATTCCCTTAAACACATAAAAGTGTTTATTAATGTATTCCGGGGAAAGACGGGTGTTTTTCTTGTTGAGCTGACCCTCTGTCATCCTCATATATTGAGGAAAAAGGTTGCTATTCTCGTCCCTTCCGCACTCCAGATTCTTCTCAGTGCTGGTTAGACCGAAATTTGTATCAAGATACTGCTCTAAATCCTTATTTTGGCTGATATCGCAGTTCTCGAAGGTGTGACCTATCATACCACAGCGCTAACGGAATTTGTAAAGCATGTCATAACTGCACATGATCCAGATGTTGTCTCCATTCCACAGATCCAGGTAGTAACCAGATGGCAGCGGATCGTATGGTCTTATTGCAACCTTGGCTCTCATATATGTGGCCTTCGCGCGTCAGTTTTGCTTGCTCACACTGACAGTGGGTCGCTAATCATCCCTGCCATCTTAGTTGCAATAGCCCCACTTGTACTTTCCACCGAGAGGCTGTTAGACAGATACCAGTAGCTATTTTGTCAATTCCAAGAGTATCCAAGGCCATATTTGGGTACCAACGACTCAAAACCAATAAACCACTATCCACTGTAAAAGGGCTATTATAAAGGATCAATTTGAGCAATTCCCTAGAAGTGAACTTAAAAACAAAGAAATTTTTGACCTTATGCAGCACGAAAGCATGCACATCCCAGTTATCACGGACGTATGCCTGCAAATTCTCCCAGCTATAGTTCCTGTCATCAAAGAGGTATCCAAGTAGGCAGTTTTTTGTGCTGATGAATTGAACCATGCACCTCCTCAAGTTGCAGGTTGTATCTGAGTCCCCTCCGGTGTGACCGATGTACGAGTGTTGTCTCCTCGCTATCTCGTCACTACCAGTTGAGGATCACTGCCTTGCTTCTTTCTCCCCAGTTCTCCAGGGAAGAATGATCGAAAAATAGGTATTCCATATTTCTAGTTGTTTTATGAGAGGCAGATCTAGGGTTTACCGGACTACCTTTGAATGAGTTCCGGTTGTTTTGACACTGCGTTTTATATAGATTGTTTGCTTCAGGTGACCACTTCTCCTTTTCTGATGCGGACAAGGACTGAGCCATTTTGTCTCTCTAATGATGAAAAAACCACAAGAGTGCCACCTTGTCAAGGCTTTGAACAAAGCAGGTTATGATGATGGTGGGGAGATAAAAGACAAGATTCTTCCTCTTCCTACCCCCATTTGATTGGTGGTGTTCTGCCTTAAGGATGTGCTTCAAGAAGAAAAATTTTGAAACCTGCAAAAACTGTTAAAGAAATCGCTCCTTGTGTCAGAAATCAGTCCTTTTCTTTATAACTTTATTCTTGAGAGGAAGATTGAAAGATTGTGAAATTATTTTTTTTTTGTATCTCGGTAAAAGGATTCTGTTGTTCCAAATACTTGAAAATACGTTGTGCAGAAGACTAATGATGGAATTCTATTCGAAATTTGCAAAGTTTACTGGAAAATAATGATATGCTTGATTGGGTAATTGAAGAAGTCTCCCCAAGACTGAGATGCAATTTAATGTGCTGCTCCTTCTACTACTGAATTGTAAACACCTATTGGCCAACGAAAACGGCTCATGAAATTGTCTTATATTCATCCCAGGAGGCACATAATGATGGTTGCTAAAATAGAAAAACTCCTCGGCGTAAAACCCTTTTGCAAGGCATCCAAAGAAGAAGGAGTAATCAGAAGCTATAGGGAGATAATATTAGAAATGAGATTGTTAGACTATATATATATTGTATAGAAGAGTACATTAGTCTTTGTATGTATCTAGGTTTTACCGTAAACCCTAAACTCCTTGTAATTGTGTATTTAAACTCCCGGTTGGGAGTCGATCAATAACACATAATGTATGTACCATCCACGTCTGGTTGTCGGTCTCCTCTTCATCTGATTGCTAATCTTGTTTTCCACAAGCGGACTAAGCATATTAAGGTGGATTGTCACTTTTTCGTAATGTGTTTACTCAAGGCATTATTTCTCCTTGTTATGTTTCTACTCACTCTCAACTTGCAGATTTCTTTACAAAGGCTTTGGGTTAATATCATTTTGATTCTTTTTTGTCCAAGTTGGGCATTTAGAATCTGCATGCTCCAACTTGAGGTGGGTGTTAGACTATATATATATATATATATATATATATATGTGTGTGTGTGTGTGTGTGTGTGTGTGTGTGTGTGTGTGTGTGTGTGTGTGTATAGAAGGGTAGACTAATCTTTGTGTGTATTTAGGGTTTTGCCGTAAACCCTAAACTCCTTGTAATTGTGTATTTAACTCCCGGTTGGGAGTCGATCAATAACACGTAATGTTTGTACCATCCACGTCTGGTTTGTCAGAGATTGAAAACAAAATACTAACGATACAAAATTTGACAAGAAATTGCAGTTTAGTTTCGAAATCAGGTGGCGGCTGTGATATTTGACCTTAAAGCATTTCACCACTTCAATTTATATCTGGGTTTCGTTTTTTGAATATGTGTGACTTTCTTCTTCTTTTTTTCTTTGGCCCCGTAGTGAATTCCTGAGGTGGATAGTCGATACCTTCGTGCACAGATTGTAATTTATATTTAGGTCTGAAATCTGAACTACTAGTCACTCTTCTTGGTTTTGGAACACAAACTTTTTACTAAAGATAGATTCCAAGAATCATGATAAACTTTTGGATGAAAAATTGTTTGAATGTAAAACGATAGTGCATTTTTAATCTCGTACTCCTTCCGTCGCATCATGATTCATGCGAAGCTGCTCCTTTTTTTTCCATTGATTTTCCGTAACTTCTGGGATTGTGATTAGGTTTAAGTAATTTTTGTGTGATTTTTCTTTCTATTTGTTTGTATAGTATCAGTAATATAGTACGATTCCTAAGTTCAATTACGAGTTTAGATGTCCAGTTTTGGACGTCCAACAAAATTCAAATAGTGAAATTAATAGGAATTTAGATAAATACATATTCGGACTTTCAAAAAAATCAAATACATTACTAGTTTAGATGATACTGTTTTGACACCGTCTACAATTTGAAAGTACAAAGATGCTCCAAATATGCAGATTATTATTGCAGAACATATTTCTATTACAGATCATTCGATACCCCCAAAATGGTCTCATATATTTGGTCAAAATTAAATTCTAGTGCCAAACATTAATATTTAACATGAATGGTCCCAAACATTATTGTGCATTTCGCAATTTTTTTTAGCCGTGTTTTAATATTCGAGTAATGACAGAGATAATGACTAATTATAATGAAAAAGTATAGTGACTAATGAAAAGACAAATACACCATCCTCACTAAATATGTGTACTTATTAAATAATGGTAAAATTATAATTTTTAGGGAAAGATAAAATTTTAACAGGAAAGTGACAAAAAATTAGGGGCCAAGAATACTCCACATCACTCATTATCTTTTTTCACTATTCTTTTTTTACTAGATATATCATTTTCTTTTACTATTCCGACATCTTTTCCATTTCATGAGTAACTATTGACCATCTGTTTCTGTGAGGGGGTTTTTTGGTATTTCAGTTAATTCTTGATCATTTATATTAAATATTCACGAAATTATTATTAGATTATTTCTTGAAAATATTTAAAAAAATTATTAAAAAATCAGAAAATTGCAAAAAGAAAAAATTTCTTATTTCATTTTTTACCTATGGGCCGAAATAAATTAGTTTCACTAGTTATGTTTTGGGAAAATTATTATAAAGGGCATCAGAAAGATACAAATTATTATAAATGGCATTAATTATTTTAGTTCATTATCGTGTTATTTTATTTGTTTTGTCATACTACAAATAACTATTTTATCCTTACAAACTTCCTTTTCAACACCCATTGAAGTCAGGAAAACCAAAACCAATTTCGATGAGTCCAACATTTGAGATTTAAGTATTTCTACATTTCTAATTGCTACCCAGTAATCTTAGATTATTTTCCTATTAAATCCAACTTATATAAACCTATCCATGTTACTCCAAACAGGAAAAAAAGAAATTATAATTTAAAACTATATTCATTGTTTTTCTTAATCTTGTGTTGGAGGAATCCTATCATACGATTAGGATAATAACTTATTCTGTGATAAAAGGCACAAACCCAATGTTACAAATTGCAATTTTCGATTGCTGCTGATTCCGCCAAAGCCATCTTAATGAATTTGGACTGTGTATTTTTGGATCAAAATTATTCTCTAACAATGATCATCCAATTGACATTGTCTTAAAAGTTCAATTAGATTGATTTGCGGAAAATACTGGAGGATTATGGTTTTACAGTTGATTAGTGCCGAGGAAGAAAGCAAAATAAGAATTGTTGGCAAAAATGTGAATTGGGAGAAATGTGAATTGGCAAAAATGTGAATTGTTGCCGAGAGATGATTTGGAAAGAGAAATAATCAGTTTGGAATGAAGTGAAAAGTTAGGGATGAAGGACATCATAGTCTTTTGAAAGTCTTGTCAAAATATTTAAATGGTAATAAAAAAATCCATGCCCTTCATAATAAATTAAAATGTTTCCATGCCCTAAATCAAAATTTTCCCTTTTTTTTAGTTAAAATATTTATTAAAATTTTAAATTTTACTCAAGTTTTTCCTCCAAAGTTTTTCTACTTTACGAAAATCCCCCAAAAAAACAAAATTCATATTTTTCAATACTCCGACCAAAAAAATCAAATCCTGATTTATATCTTCTCTCACTCCCCGCGCCGCCGCCATGCCTTCCCTCTCCCCAACCTTGTTGCTCATTGACGCCGGCTCCCCTATGTCGGCCGATTTGCTCAATCCTAAGACGAAAATAGCCGGAATACGTTGGCAGGTCAAATGTCCACCACTGGTCTCCTCGCCCAACCTCTCCCTTTCTTTTTTAGTCCCCAAATACATTATTCATCTTAAAAATCGTAACACCGTAATCAATAGAACTAAGTGAACAATTAGCATTTTTGAATTTTAAAAAAAAAAATCCACCCAAGAATCAACCTGGAACAATGACCATCAAAAAAAAGTTACAAAATCCAAACAAACAACAAACTAAAAACTTGCATCATTGTCATTGACATCAAAATTATAACTCTGAAATTCAACAATTCAAGTATCAACATCGAACAATAAATGAGAAAATAATATCTTCCCAAACTCCAACCCATAATTTAAATCTGACCGAACAACGAAATAAAACATCTCACTATCAATTATCATCACACCAAGTCATTGAATAATCAAATTAATTTTTGTCTCGCCACGGCAAAACCGCCCAAACTCGTGTTGCAAAGGTTGTCGACGTCAAGAAAACACACTCGGATTGGAGGCAACGATGATTTGGGAGGTCTTTTTATTGAGTCCTGATCGTACATGTTGGTTCTCCGCGGTTGCTTTGCTTTGCTGTCTCCTGCTCGTACATGATTGATTTGTCAGCCAAGAGATTGCTCTATTCAGGATCTGACAGCTTTAAATTGGCTCGCATTCACAGATCGTTCGCTTTGCACTTTCATGTTTTTTCTGAAAAGGGTGTGTTGGATTCTTGCCTGCATAATTCAGTATGAGACCCCTTGAGGGGGGTATATCCGGTGCTATATTCCTCTGCTTATTGAGATTTAAGTTTATCCTGGATTGACCAAAGAAATTTCTTACCCAATATCAAAAGGACAGACTCTTAGAGTTGAATACAGAATCGAAGGGATCATGATGAAGAAAAATCATGTCTCAGAACTTAATTGTCATTTAGGCTTTGCTGACTATAAATTCATAAAGCTAACAGAAGCTTCAGTAACTGAAAATGACAAATATTATGGAGTTCATACATAGTACAGTATAACAATTTTATAACTTCCAAAGTTACTACTAAGTTTTCGCTCCTCACGATCTTTCTCTTGCTAACACATCAAAGTGTCAAATGGAGAAAAAAGTGGAAAATTTTTGGTTACTTTGCTGCTTCACTTGCGAGTCTCTCTTGTAACATCTTTACTCCCATATACCTGCAATTAAAGGAACGAACAGGAGGAATTAATTTTCAGAAATTGATGCGAAAATTATACCAAGGGACTTAGAAGATTATATGCAATTGGTTTTACATTACCTTCCAAGCATCATAACAGTAGCTTGAGGATTAGTTCCAGGAGAGTAAGTAAAGGTGGAGCCATCAATCACCCGCAAATTATCGACGCCGATCACTTTATAATCATTATCGACGACCTTACCAACATGACATCCGCCATGGTAATGCCAAATGGTCATCACAGTGTCCTTACAGAACTGTTCTAACGAAGTCGACACGTTCATGTGTTTCGGCAACAAGTTCACGGGAGCACTGGCTGTCATGTTCAGGAGAACCGGTACTGGCATGTCATTGTATCTGAAGTTGATGAAGGATTTTGATTCAATAATGTCTTCAATGATCTTCATCCCACTCACACATCTTTCCAGATCCTCTGGCTCCTGGAAATAGTTAAAGTGAACAATGGGATTATCATTCGGGTTCTTGTTGCGCAGGGTCAAGTTACCTTTTGAGACAGGACCCATGACTTTTTCCAGGATGAATCCACCATTGAATACCGAATCATCCAGTTCACTCATTGCATCAATGGCTCTGGCCAAGGCTTCTGCGGTTCTTTCTTTAGGTGGCAATGTGCTCAGCTGCCCAATCTGAGGTGAATTGAAGCGCACTTAAACAGCTGATTGGAATTAATCAAAAAAAAAAAAAAAGCCATAAAAGTTCATACCTTTGGAGAAAACATTCCAAAGTCTCTAGTAGTGGAAGCTCCAGCAAAGTTTTCACCACTGGCAGCTTCAATGTAACTCCCAATCTGAGTGATCCCTACTACTTGAATAAGGGAAACCTCAACATCAGCTGGAGATGGCACAAAAACTGCATTCATTGGGTTATCAGCCATCCCAGACCCAACCCATGGTTGATCTAAAACCACAGTGATATTATGCGATTTCAGCTCTTTTTCTGGTCCAATTCCACTCAGCATCAACAGCTGTGGACTTCCAAGTGCTCCAGATGATATGATCACCTCACTTTTACCTCCTTTTTTGATGTATGCCTTGTGCTTAGTCCCTGAAGCATCCCTAAATATCACCCCACGAGCTCTTGGCCTTTCTCCCACTGACACAGTTATTTATCCATCAAGAATCAATCAAGAAACCAGAAAACATTCTTAGTTCATCTGATTTAAGGCAAAAAAAAAAAAAAGTAACCCTTTCTTCTGATTCAGAACAGAGGAAATAGAACAGGGGAAATGAGTCAAATGAGCAATTAATTAGTTTCCAATTCCATACCTTGGTTTCTGAACAGAATTTTGTGGACAGAAGCGTACAAAAGAACAGTAAGTCCACTTGGATTTGCATATTCAAGCAAATCAGCAGCAGTATGCCGATTCCCATCTAGATCAAAGATTGAACCACCGATCTTGGTGCCGTAAATATGATCATAGGTAAAACCATTATAAGGAGTAACGCCGGATTCCACCAAACCATCCCTGACCGCCGATTGCCACTGCTTCACCGGCGGCTCAAACGCCACTTTCTTCTCCACCCACTCATAAGATTCCTTCACCAAATCCGCATCCCAGCCGAGGCCGTCCCCGAATGTGGTCGGAGCCCGGGTGTAAAACCCGGCATTTAAACAACTCCCTCCGCCCAGAACCCGGGCTCTGGCGTTGATTACGCCGTCCTCCGAGATGAAGCGTTGGGAAGGGGACGCTGGAGATAGGTCGGAGAGGGCTGCCCCGAATGCCGACAAATAGGTTATGTTCGGGTTGCCGTAAGGCGAGCCGCCGCGTTCGAGGAGCAGCACGCTGTAGTTCTGAGAAAGGGTGGCGGCCAACGGACAGCCGGCGGTGCCGCCGCCGACGATGATGTAGTCGTAGAATGAAACGTCCGGAGCTGAAGTTGCTTCATGCATAAATCTGTAGTTCGGAGCTGCGGCGACAAAATTAATAATCATCGACACGAATTTTTTTTATTTCCTTAATTTCATCAAATAATAACTGTAGACAAATTAATTGCTAACTAATTATTTGTGTCTAAATCTTAACATCAATTTCATTGTGATTCATGGAACTATGTTTAACTATAACAGATGCAAAATCTTGACTACAAAATCACAATGAAAAGCTAGAAAAATCATAAGAATTGATTTGTAACTTAGTAGTACCCGATTAATAATTAATTTGACAAAGACAATTGTCTTGAACTGTGAGAACATTTTATGTGTGATGAGGAGTTGCAGCAATATATATAATTAATAGCCTACATTATAGATGATGTTAGTAGATGGCTGGCAATAAATCATCCAACAAATTCCAATTCAGCACTAGCTACTATTACTACTCAATTATTCATGATCACCAAAATTCTTTGTTATTTTTTTTTTTTTCGGGCTGATTAAAGGAGTACAAAGAATTATAGAAAATAGAAGTAGTCGTGGTGCATAACATTTGACGTTTTAGAGCCAAAAGAAAAAGACCTTAAAAATTGAACATATTGACGCAAGAATAAGTGGACATGGACAAAGCTGAGAGTACATTTACGAGTTGCATCAATTAAGGCATTGTCGAAATTCGAACTAGAACAACGACGCCATAAATAGGGTTTGATTTGCCCAAGACCAATTAATTTTACACTCAAAAAATAAAAATATTAATGAAAGAAAATGAAGAACCACCTTTTCCTTTTTACCACGTATCCAACATGCACTTATAGAAATGAAAGGACCATATATCAACATTTTCACGTATTTTTGTTTACTAGCCTCATTGGGGAACAAACAAGAAATTGATAACAGATCGTTCTAAGAACAAAACATTAAAAAAATACTTGATTTATTGTTCTTCAATCTTCTTCATGCAGATGCATGGAGCCGATGGAAAATAACTGTTGATAATGCTGCTTTTTTTCTCTTTTTTTTTTCTTTTTTTTTTATTTTTGTTTGTGGAACATGGAACTACGTATTTTTTGCTCAAAAGGTGAAGCCAAAAAAATCCAGGACTGACAGTAATAACAATAATGTTGGTTTTTTTTGGGTCATTTTGTTTTAGTTCTTAGTTTTACCTTTTTGAGAAAAACAGAACCCATTGAAGAAGAAAATGCCGACAATTGCAGCAGCAACAAAGAATCTCCAACCCGCTAAGCTCTTCATGATCATCTTTCGGATCGATCTTCTTCAAAACCAAACGAATCAAAAGTACGATATATAGAAGTAAATTAAGATACTAACTTAATTAATTATAACAGAAAAGGAAAAAAGCAACATAAAATTAAAAAAAAAAAGGGGGGGAGTGTTATTTGGAGCTTCGTACACAGAAGAAGCAAACAAAATTTGAGGCTTTAATAAAGGGAATGCCAACGATCTAAACGGCAATAACTTTTGAGAGTACAAAGAAAATCAAAGCTTCTTCTTCGCTTAATGAAAAATCATGCACTACTGCTTGGAGGTAAAGGGTTATTCAAGAAAATGTGGGATTTATGAGTACCGATTTACACTGCTGTAAAATGTAGCCAAACTAGCGATTTGGGTGGCCAGATTTAAAGGGCTGGAAGAAACGGATTAAAACCTCTTTTTTTTTTTTTTTTTGGTGGACGAGACAAAAAAAATAAATAAAAAATAAAAATGCTGTGCTAAACAAATAATAATAAGAAGTAGTAGAAGCGAAATCACGCACCAAATGCCTGCTTTGTGCTTATCGCAAATAACAGAAGGGCAAATTTTGAGGAGGAAGAAGAGAGAAGAAGGTGATGATGAAATGGAGAGAAGAAGAGAAGAAAGGGACAAAATTTCGTTCCTCTTCAAACGTCAGGGGATTTGGGGGATGAAATATGAATAAACAGTTAGTGAGAAGAGACTAAAATTAGAGGGGGCAAAATAGAAGGGGGAAAGGGGGCAGTTCATAGTTGTAGTTCATATTGTTATGAGAGAAGCCATTAATTAATGGTGTTGGCACCTTCATTTCTCCATGTACACGTGGCCCTATTTTCTGCTACACCCTTATGTTACTCGTTTTTGTCCCCAGAAAAAATATAATTCGCTCTTTAAATTAAAACAATATAACAAATTGAATTATTTTTGTTCGATAGAAGAAATATAATTCTTAGTGACCATCATCGATTCAGAGTAACCAAAGTGAAATGAGTGTAAAAGTAGAATAATATTAGAACTAGCGTTTAAAAAAATGGTTAAACAGTAGCGCTTTAAAAAATAGTTAAAATACTCTACATTGAATTTTGTAATTATGTTGTTTGTAATACAAATATAAAGATTCAACGTAAATTATTATTTTAGAATGGAAAGAGTAATTCTTTTTAAGTGTAAGGACCATGATAATAACCAACATTACTGAAATTAAACATTATTGTACGACCATTACTAACAGAACCGTTGGTTACGGTTTTAGAATGGAAAGAGTAATTCTTTTTAAGTGTAAAGACCATGATAATAACTAACATTACTGAAATTCAACATTATTGTACGACCATTACTAACAGAACCGTTGGTTACGGTTCATAGCAATAGCCGTTTTTTAATTTTCTCAGTGGCTCGTAACAATTTAATTCAGAATAATTCTAAATTATTGGCAACGAGATAGCCTGTCATATATGTTGTTAACAACTGCTGGATATTACAAATCCAACTCGTACCCTAATTTGAAAGTAATATATGTTGTTAACAACTTCTGGATATTACAAATCCAACTCGTACCCTAATTTGAAAGTAATATATTTGTTAACAACTTCTGGATATTGCAAAAATCCAACTCGTACCCTAATTTGAAAGTAATATATTTTGTTAACAACTTCTGGATATTACAAATCCAACTCGTACCCTAATTTGAAAGTAAAATTTTGGCCATTAATATTTGCATGTTCTTGTCTCTTGAAAGCTCAAATATAGGCCCACATGGGATTACACTTTAAACCAATTGGTAATAAAGGGAGTAGCACATGTGGTTATATATTGGCTTCAAGAGTCTACTGTTTCCAATGTGGGAAAAGGGAACTTAGGTAATTCTCAATATTCAATATTCTCAACACCCCCCTCTCAAGTGTGAAGGGGTTGGACAAACCGGATAAACTGCCGGATCAGTAAAGACCCAGATATAACTAGGTAAGTAACAAAAAGTAGAAATAGAAAGCCCAGATTTGGGTAAGTAGAAGTAAAATGCCCAAACGGATAAGTAAATCAGATCCCGGATTAACTGTCGGGTCAGTCAAAATCCGTCTCACAAGTCACATAGGTTTGACGAGTCATAAATTAACCCTAAGCCTATTGGACCTAGGATTAGGTTACTTGGAGATTAAGTCACCTCCTAAACCTAATACGACTAGGTTTCAGGCCACCTCTATATATAAAGAGGTGGTGTCTCTCTCATAATACACATCTTCTACATATCTTCTACCTATCTTCTACACCTTCTACACACAATACACATCCCTCTCTCTCTACTCTCTTTATTCCCTTATTGACTTAAATATCGGAGAGTCTACCCTCGAGAGACACCCGAGGCTCTGTCTTGCAGGTTTTAGGCCGTTCGCCACTGCCTAAGTCATCATCGCCGTCCGTCCTAAGCACCGTGCAGATCCATGCTTCGTCAAGGTTCACGGATAAAGTCCGCTCTGATACCATTTTGAAGACCCAAATATAGGCCCACATATGGTTCTACTTTAAAACCAATTAGTGATTAGGAGAATAGCACATGTGGTTATAATTAGTTTTAAGAGTCTACCGTTTCAAATATGAAACAGAAAAACTTGTACAATTCTCAATATTCAATATTCCCAACATTGTCTTAGTATAAACTCGCATCATAGTAAATTAGTTCAGTACTTCTATTACTGAGTAAGACAAGTTCTTGTTTGAATCACAAGTCTTGCCTCATTACCTTTTTATTGATGTGAACATCATACTTCCATATTTAGAAAACAAAAGTTTTTACTGGAAAACCATAAACTCGCCCATGACATCTCGCCCCACGCACAATTCGCTATTATAAAGAGTTGCCAACGCGCTTAAGCTATTATATTTATCATGCTTTTCGTCTTCTTACATTAACGCAGTATCAAACCTGTATACATTATCATAACAAGATTAGTGTGTGGGTCTAGAAGTGTGAGACACATGTTTACTTTTATTTTTTCTGCGTCCTATAACGATAAAATATAATAATATCATATTTTAACCATAATTTCAATCGATGTGAAGAACCTTACAAGAGATGACAAACAATCGATCAATCAAGATGACGATGATCCCCACTGCGATATATGTAAAGAAGAGAAATCTGGATTCTGGCCCAATGTTATTATTAATGAATCAGGACTGCCAACTACTTTTGGTTTAGTAGATCAACATCAGTTCATGAGTAGGGTATCATTTTCTCGTTGAAGAGATGTTTTGTGTTGGCTTTATCAATTTTGTTAGCAAAATCACATCTAACTCTTCGGTATTTTTATGTCATCGCATTTATTTTCACGTTGGTTGCTTATATGTGGATACGACCATTTCGTGTCCAATCTTTTATCAAAGTACAACCACCCCCCCCTCCCCCTCCAATTACTTTTCCTAAAATAATACTCCCTCGTGTCCTTAACATAAGACATTTTAATTAGTCCTAAGTTTCAGCTAATACTCAATTTTTAATTAACAAAAAAATTTTAAAAATATTTTATAACAATCAAGAGAACACAACGAATATAAAAATATATCTTTAAGGTTTTTTCGCCAATTAAAATGCTTATTAGGTGAAACTTAACACAAATCAAAATGTCTTATATTAAAAATCAGAGGGAGTATAACAAAATCGATTTTGTATTGTGGTGTGCGTACCTTGTCAAAGTATAATACTATGCAAACACATTATTATTAAATAATACAAACTGATATTACTAAAAAAATTAATAATACAAAAGGAATGAGAGTGAAAAATTAGATGAAAATTAATCTAGCTAGTGAATGTGATCCTACCTAACTAATGGTAAGATTATATTGAGTATAAAGACCCAGGAACCGAAACTTATTTAGAAGAGGTTTATGAATATTGGGGGAGGGGGGGTAGTGGAATTGGTTTCCTTCACTGTACCAATAAATAGAATCGGCAAAAAGTTGAATTAAATAGTTTTTCCAAGGACACATGACAATCCAAATAACTCATACAGTAATGTCTCTTTTTAAGTCAAATTTTATGGCATATTATGCAGTCTTTTTAGTGGTGCATGAATCAGGAGGATTGCAATTTGCATGGACTGAAGTATATATACTTTTTATCACAATGCATTTGTCTCATTCATTATACAAAATCCATTATTAAGTTATAATTGCCAGAAGGCGGACAACCTCCATTGCCCCCACAAATTATATAGAATCACCTACCAAAAAAAAATTATATAGAATCGGGTGTATACAAATATTCTCATCAATAAATGTCAGAGCTCTTCATATCTGGAAATTTTGAAAAAGTAAATATATTGATGCTATTAAAATGTGAACAAAAGCATTGTTGTTAGGGTGGGAGGGTTAGGTAGGGTGGTTAAGGAATTCAGATGAAGGACGGTTATTACCAGGAGGTCAAGTGTTCGATTCTCTCTGGGGCCATTAAAAGAAAAAACGAAAGCATTCTTGGTTCCTGTTGAAAAATTGTGTTCAATCTCAAGTTGAAGTGTCCTAATGTGGGATACCATGTGTTGTTCAATCTGCTGATTGGGAGTATGGTATATTGATTGCAATCTCTTTGCACTCTCATTAGTCGTTGTACATTGTCATTTGTCAACCCAAATTAGACGATTCTCAACAACTGATGAAATAAATTAGTGGTGTTTTTTCTTTTCTAAAAAATGTTGGAAACCGACTCGAGCAGTTGAAGTCGTTAACCAGCCTCAGAAGTTGAGGCTACTTGAGGTTTGATACTTTTACTCACAAATAATTAAATTTTGTCTGACTTAATTCTTTTGGATACAAAGAGAATGGTTGATGTCTGTTTTGTAGAAATCAAAACACTAAATAGATTAGAAATCCTGACAATGTTATATTTTAACCACGTTCTAATTCTACTCAACGGAATCACAAAACGGTAATTTGTGAATAATAAATTTCGGAATTTATCATTGACATATATTACATACAGATTACAGACAACTGGAACACTACACTGTCAAATGGATGGTGAAGGTGGACGTTTATGGGAAATCAAAATTGTGAAGGTGGACGTTTGGACGGTTTGGCACTCCGGGTTTTTTTTTTTTTCCACCTAAATTACTATCTTTAAAAAAAAATTGATAAGACTATCAACAATATATAATCCTCATGGCTTAAACAAAGCCATCAATCAATGAAATAATAAACTGATAAAAATGGACAAATGATTGAATTACACGAAATTATACCCACCACCTTATGGACAGACATATCGTTGAACTAGAACGCACGGTATGACCTTGTCGTCCTAGTATAACGAGTTGTAGGTATAACAGGTAGCTATAATCGATCCCACGCAGATCACCAGCGACGGAAGCAGTGTGACATTCAGGAGCTTACTCTCCCCTAAATAACCAGCCAGAGTGATCGTTGCATCCGCAATCACCCGAGCAATTGTCCCGGCTTCAGTTGACAAAAGGCCACCATTATAAGTTCCACGAGAAAGCCTAGATGACATCACTCGAGAGAGGAGCGACAAATTGACGCCTGCATTAACAACCATACCATCATCTCGTTAGTTAATGTTTGATAGATCACTCAAATCCAGCTAGTAAAGGAAGCCGAAAACGAAATCTCCATGACATGAAGATAAAAGCACCACTTCTTTATCAGTTTGCCGGGGATATAATGAGGAAGGGAGCCACATCGATGGTCAGAAAGGCATTCATCCCATAATAATAGTTTTACATCTCTACTTCTAAGAATAAAATAATTCAAGAAACCTGACATCTAATTGTTTTTGGACAGTTGGAGTCTAAAGTTGCAAAATACTTGGCTTATTCCCTCACCTAACAGTACGCCGTTCTCAAACATGAGAATCACCATTTTAAAAGATTCTACAGCCTCGCATTGTAATGGTTACGCTTCTAGGTTAGTATAACATTGTAATGCATTTTAATCTCATTCAAGTAGTGCTGAAAAAAATCCATTGTAAACTGTGAAGATGTAATTTAAAAATGAATCAAATTTAATCTCCTCTGCATTTGAAGCAAGTTTCACTAGGAACAGGGAAAATACCATCATGGTTAATATGATGGCCAATATTTCTGCTTCCCCCTAAAGATAACAATGCTTGAAAGACAAGGATGGATCTTACCTTCCAATACTTCAGCGGACACAAACATTATGAGCCCTGAAGTAACATACTGCGGAACAGAATATCGCACAAATGCTTCAAAGCTGAAGATTATACCAAGTAGAACCATAATTTCAGAAGCAATTAGAATTTGCCTGCATGAAAAATTTTGAGAAAAGATTCATCAACTCTTGCTGTATGAAAGCGTATAAAACTTCACAAAGCTGCTTTAAAACTCCTGAGCATGCACAGAAGTCACCTTCACATTTACATAGGCCCAAAGGAAAGAGAAATGGAATGACAAACATACAACACTTCTTAATACTCTTTGAGTTGCATTTTCCAATTTTCATGACCGTTCACCTCTGACATGCTCTTCCAAGCATTAAAATGGACCAAAACAGGAAGGGAAATGATTTTACTGAAGGGGTTAAAAAAATCAGTTCAAAAGTTTCCCCTTTCCAATTTCTATGGCCACCATCATCAAGATCATCAAGATACCACGACATTCTCAATGGTAAAATACTTTCTTAAACTTCAGATAACAAATCCACATATACGGTAGTCAATAAAGAAATCAACCTCAGACCTCATTGCTACACATCAAATTCACTGCATCCCCAAAACTAAAATGTAATGTTCTACTAATTCATTGCACCCATAAACCCAAAACATAATGTTCCACTCAACAAAAAGAGAACTATTATGATTTCAATATGCCACATTCTGTAGTATATACCTGTCCTCGAACATGTTACTAATGTAGCTCCCAACAAAAATGTTCACAGGTAGAACTGTCAAGCCAAGGCATGCCAGAAAAATGGAAACCGAGCTTGTAGACCAGCCAAAGTAGTATGTAGTAACAACACTTGATTCTGAGAGTAAAATCTCCATCACATATTTTAACATGAAATAAATCAATAGCTGAACCTGAAATTGACAAGTAATATTCCCAATTAGCATTTAAAAAAGAAAAAAGGATGTCTACAATTTTTCCACTGATAACAAGGAGAACTAACTCAGCATTTAAACTCTAAGCCAAAGGAAGCGAAGGGGAAAAGCGAATTAACCGTCACACGACTGGTGATGACAAACATTTAAGGAGGCAAAAAAGGGTAAAATAATTCCCTTCAGTAATCCATCCAATATTTTCACAAATAAACTGACAAGTCAAGAAACAATTCTTCGGGGCACCTATATCATTTCATCCAAATCTAAATCAACATCTTACAGAACATGCGTAAACAAAATCCGTGGGCAACAAAGAGTACCTTCACAGAAGGTGTAAGCAGTCTGTACGCAGATCCTATAGAGGTTGCAGGTAAACGGGAATCCTCAGAAGCTTCTTCGCTTTCGTCATAGTCTTGATCATCATCTTGTTGCGCATGCTCCTCCGTGGTAAGAAGCAACGGTTGAGCAACGCCCTTTTCGAGAGCATCACTGTCGACTGTCACTGAATAAGACCAAAAACCTAATTAGCTCGTCTGTTTAAGTGGTGAAGACAAAATCCAGAATGAAGTAGAAGATGACAATCTGACAAAAAAGCATACCACTAAAATTTATATTCACTTTATTACCAATCTAGCCTAGATAGTTGATATGAGGGGAAGACTTTTCTGAACGGAAGTACTACTCAAAAGCCTTAAGCACTGACTTCTCAAACCATCATAAAATTATGTGAAACATCAACCCTACCGCAAGTTAGAAACAGTTGCAATAAAAAAAAATAATATCAACACCCGAGTTAAAGCATCAGCATGCAACCAGAAAAAATTATGACAACACCACATGTCTGAAATCTTATTAAGCAAAATTTGGGTCCTTGCATGGTCACGCATTATCTTATACACATGGTTGAGGAAGGGCTTATTAGAAATGCTCTGGCAAATTTTATTTGGTTCTTATGCATATATCTAGGCATCTAACAGTCAAAAATTAGAACAATAAGTACAAAGCAAAATATTTCTGTTATGGTTTCTAAAATTAAAGATGAAACAGAAAGAAGGGAAGAAATTCAATGAAGAAGACACTTGCCATTTTACAAAATGTAAGCCTAAAGAAGAAATTAATAAGAGGCAACCATACCTTTTTTTGACCCTTCTGATACTGGGTTTGCTTCTGTCTCATGAGCAGGTTCTCTGAACGATATCCACAACCATATTAGGTAGGCCAGCCATGCTATGGCCATAACCCATCCCGGCAATGTGTCCTGATTGAATGTGAGCTTGTACACTTTAAATTTAGTCTGGAGCAACCCAGCTAGTGCAGGACCACATGCCATTCCAAGGGCACTGGCACTAACAAAACCAGCCGATGCTTGCATCCGAATTTTAAGTGGTACGCAGTCACTTATATAACGCCGGTTTACAGCTCTAGCCGAACCCAAACTGCGTGATTCAAGTGCTATTGTTATTTACCAAACAATGAGCATACAAAAAGAGATCAATGGTACTAAATAATGCTAAATGTTCACAGAATAAAAACCAAGGACGCTTTGATCAAAAGAGCACTTATCCTATTTTGCTTAATTTCTTTATTTAAGACAGAAAGGTAATACTAAAGGATAAACATTTACCCGCACATCAGTCGTCCAATCAGAAGAATAGCTATTGAATTGCAATCATAAGCTAGCGCATATAGAGTATTTCCAAGAAAAAGAACGATACTGCTAAAGACCAAAGGCTTGAAATATGATCTGTTAGACCAAGCACTGAAGTACACAGAGGAGAAAATTTGAGCGACAGCCATGGCTCCAATTACAACACCACACACTGTTGCAGCAGCTCCAAGGCTCATTGAGTAGTCATCAGCAGTAGGAACAATGATGTAAGTATTGACCATATACAGAAATGTATTGGCCAAGTTCAATAAAAGAGACATGAAGTGGTATCTTCCATCTTCCGCTTGCTCCTCCACAGGACTAGGTAACTCCTCTTGCATAATAAGGGCATGTTGAGCTAGAAAATGGAGGAAATTGGTTGAATAGGTTAATCTATCAACAGCAGATTGTAATGAGTCAACGACAGGATCCTGCAGCAAAACAAAACAGACAATTCCAAATTTTGAAGAATATAAATAATTGAACATATGAAGAGAATCCCCTTAAAATATTCAAACGTCAAAAGAACACCGAATGCATAATGGACATTAGACTACCTGCAGGGGTAGAGCGGGCTGGTCATAAATCGACAAATAGCTCCCCTGACGATCCTGTAGCTCTCCAAGATTGCGAGATATAGCTCCAACCACTGCTCCTAATCCCTGCAAGTAATCTTCACGATTAGTGGCAATCTCTTAAGTGTTTCTCTTTATTCTGAAATACTAAACTTTTTCAATAGAGAAAATTACAATATAAAAAAAGTATGTTTCAAGCACATGCATCTAGTTTCCATGAAAAACACAATACTGGAAATGAAGTTGAAGACAGAGCACTGCTTCTATTATTTATTTATTTATTTATTTTTCATAGTCCAAACACTAATGAAATGCTTAAGAACATTCTTGAAATGAGGTACATTACCACATGCTTAAAAACTTGCTGGAGCTGGGAATATGGATGATTGGCACGAGTTTTAACATAATAATCAGTGAATCTAGAGCCAAAACGTTTATCAAACTTCTTAAGGATCTTTCTCAGTCCGACTGCATTGACTTCCACAAAAAAGAGAAGCTTCAATAGATCTCTGCCAACATCTCTATATGCCTCACGGAGCTCAGATATTTTGCTTATCTCAGGCTGCTCCTGCAGAGCATCTTGCTGCTCATTAAGTTTCTCAATCCTGCTGGCTAGCAGGCCTTGTTGCTCCAACAAAAACAGAACAATCTTCTCAATCTGCACCAGTCAAGGAAGAGAACAAAAAGGATAAGTTAGAATACATACATTTTGCAATGCCTCCATTAATCTATGTCCCTATCTTTATAATACATTCCCAAAAAGGGGGGAAACACTTGAGGAGATAATGGAAAAGTGAATCCAAAGGTAAAATGAACAGAAATTTCGACCACTTCATAAAGCGTTGTATGGAAAACAGAACTTAAACATTTAGCGGGGATGAGAGCAGGTGAGGAAACATAGGGAAATCATAAGGTTAGGCTACTCCAATTCTCGAGAGGAAATAGTGATCTCTGCACCGAAATCAGCTCATAATCAAGACCGCAGTTTTATAGAACCATTTTTATTCATCTGTACATTGTAAACAATGAATTCACCAAATTGTCACAGTACCTGGTTATCCAACATGCGGGAGAAATCCTTGAGAACATATCTTCGATCTAGTGCTCCAGCTTGCATTTGGAGAGAATATTGTTTCACCTTTTTCTTCATTAACTTGTAGTTGATATAATATCTGAGAGAAAGAACCAATCCGCAATTGAGTACACCATTTCCTTCCCTTCGGTAACAGTAATTTCATAACAATTCTTTTTTCAAATTTTCGTAACTGTTTGGCTATTCTTTCCTTGTCTAAATGCCTTCTTAGATTGGTTTCAAAGTTCCCAAATCCATAAATATTAGTTTTAAATTTCCAGTCACAATTAATATGTTCTCATCAACCAAAGGCCTGAAATCAGTGGATCTGTTTTGTGCTTAACAGAAATGAGAAAATTTCCCCTTTGAAGTAAATTTTAATGTCCTTCAACTGAACAAATAAACAATGCCTATTGGCAGCGGAGATGGATCTATAATTCATCAGATTTTAACTACACTAAGTATTCACATTCATGGCAAAACTATAACAATTTTTAAGGTCATTAGGAAATCTTAATAGGTAAAACCTCAAGAATTTGACATTGATTATGGGTAGGCGCAATTTTAGTCCAAGGGAACACAATGCAGTGAGTATTGAATGAACAGTATTGCAGAAAAATAGAGAAAAACTGTACCCCTGCCATTCTTGAATTTGTCGCTCCTTCAACTTCTTCCCAAAAGCAACCATCTCTCACTACAAAAGAAAATTGAAACCTCAGATAAACATCAGATGGCATCCTTCCAAAAAACGAATGCTGTCTTACGGGATAAAGATAATAACAATAAAAAAGGTAAGAAAACAGACGGATTTATTAATTCCCCAGAAATCAGAGAAGTTAGAAACATTGGCAAAGGTTTTTGGCTAATTTCCAGGCAGGAGAAAAATAGAATGGATCACCAGACAAGCATCAACTCTCCAATCATGTTAGAACAGTCTTTCTAAATTCTGCATCTGCACCCCATCAATACTTAAACACTCACAACCGCAAGATAGATATATCAAATGAGAATGTAGATATGAACATGGAAATTGGCATTATGCAAGTTGTATAATGTCAAATGTCTAAGCTTTGACAGCAAGAAGATTTAGTATAAGGCTCCACTTTAATCAATGAAACACATTTGAGTTGGATGCTCTGAACATCAAAACAAAATGCAATGGCTAACCTTTTTTCATCAGAGATGATAACCATCAGATCCTCCAATGATTATAATAGTAAAAAACTTGAGTACTAACTTATTTCTTTCCAAAGTAACCATAGTTAGGCACTCAAGTAAACGAAGCGATCAATTCATTACCAAATAATTACTTAGCTAAGATCCCAAGTAAAATGCATGATAAGTATTCCAGTTCCCAAGTTGATCAAAAAGTATGCTCTCTTTTCTAAATACAAGGTTTCCTTCATCTGATACCAATACTCCATCCACAAAATGAAGACCCAAAAAATACTACCTTCAGGGGAAATCATAAAATAGTACAATACCAAAAACCAACGGTATGATCATGGACAGACACAAACAATCATCTACCATAAGCTTAACAGCTGCAATTTGTAGATGAGGAACCAATAAACAGCAAGAAGTAAACCCCCTGAAGAAGTCATATTCACACAAATCAGCCAGTCATCCTCCAATTAAATTAAACTATCACAGTAGTAGCTAAAATGTGAAGAAACTAATTAATAAACGTAGAATCAATCTAAATTATAAAATCCAAATCTGTTACAGACCAAAACTGTAGACCGCCAGCCACCGGTGTTCACACAGCTCAGACATAAAAGCAGAGTTCGAGTTCCACGACACATAACACAGATACAGAACAGAGTTCCCGTGACAAATAACCAAAATTCAAAAACAAAAGAAAACAAAACACACATAGTGATTAAAGAAGAAGCCGACGAATATTCTGATTCATGGACATGCAAATAGATTCCGAACGTAGTATCCTAAAAAGATGAATAGAGAAAAAAAAAAAGAATTACCGACGGAAAATCAACAGCAGCCTGGAGAATTTTTCTTTTTTATTTGGTCTCCTCTCTTAGATGAGCATCAACAAACAGCCGTTCCGGCGGGGACAGAAATATTTTCTGAGCTAAGTTCAGAAAATCAATCCAGCAATCAAATCATTCAGGTGCATTAATTAGTCCTAATCATCACCAATTCACCACCACCACCACCACCTTGTATAAAATAAATCAGATCTTCACGAGAATTTCCAACCGTATGTGAACGAGAGAATTCAGCAGCAATTCCTGCAAAATTTTACACCTATTTTTTTGTTTTTTACTCCAAATTGAGCTTGTAGTATATAAATTCCCTTCGTACGCAGAGACGTGTTTGTATACGTATCTGTAGAAAGAGAGAGAACGGGAGTGAAGCTGAGGTTGCCTGAAACGGTTTTTTTCTGAAACGACCCGACCCGGTGAGAGGGGAAAAATAGTGAAGGTACGAGAAGAAAGAAAAAGAGAACTGAGAGGAGGGAACAAAGAACAGAAAGTACAGAACTCTCTCACACATACAGTGATACAGAGAAGGCGGGTTTTATATGAGGTGATGATAATGATCTGATGATATGAGTCCCCTCCTGTTGGTTTTGATTGTGGAATTTGTAATTTAGTGGGGTCCCCCCGACCCTTTTCTTATTACATTTTGGGCTCTGCATTTATTCACATACCATCCTCGTTTAACCCCAGATAATTTTTTTTCTTTTTTTTTTTAGTAGAAAAGCTGAAATCAGCTAGTACTGAGTGATAACTAATTCAGCTGAAACGAATTTGTGGATGAGACTAATTTGTGTTTTATTTTTATTTTTTTCGGTTCAATTATCTATAAGATTTATGTTTCATATACTAAATGGAACATATTGATTCTTCGAGGATGTTTCTGATAATGAATTAATAAATTTTAGGAAAAGAAATTACTGTCTGTTGGTTTTTTTTTTCTTTTAGGGCTATGAAATTTTGGAATTTTCACCATAAATGTGGTAACTGGAAACTCCAAATTTCAACATGGACGAAATTGTCTTGATAAATCTCCATTCACTTTATATATGTACACGGAATATTATGAAGGGGTGTGACGACAATTCATATGTGACAGAAGCCATTTTTATCTTCTTGTTCTTGTACAGAAAAACAGGTGTACTATTAAGAAAATTTTTATTAAAGAAAAAATATTTCTAAAAATTGGGAAAAATGAGGAAAATTTGAGCACTCAATTTGTCCCCTTTTTTCTTCTTTTCTTTTTTTTTTTTTTTTTGTTATTTGGTAAGGAAAAAAAAGAAGAGGCTAAAGCCTTTCAACTGAACTGTTAAATTAGGAAAATAAATTATCCTAATTCATATTTAGACTATAATAATATCGCCCCCAACAATTAACTATTGTTTCCTTTTTGAAAAATAATTCATGGGGTAAAGTAATTTAATCGCAGTTGTTAAAGGAAAAGTGCAAATATCCTTTTAAGAAAACAGTAACTTCAATTGTTGACTTATCACTAATATGATTTTGTACACGAATAATTGTTATATATTTTGTCTAAAATAATCATTTCGACTAAAATGCTTACTTCGGTTATTATTGCAACATGTAATGTAGCGTTAACAAAATGTTCACATGGTGAACCCATTGCACCAAACAATAATAATATCCCCTTCAGAATCATATGATGTACGAAGTGTGGGGCACAGCATTAACCGCGGTCACATTCATAATGTCAGCAAACCTCTTTTAACAGCCATTCAACGGGGGTATATACGTATGGGACAGTGTGTGGCGATTAAGTGTCTTATACATAATAAAAACACTAAAGTCCCTTATTTTCACAATTTTTTAAAATACGCTCACATGAATACTACTTTTCCTGTTTCAAAATGGAAATGAAAATCTAAACTCTAATAATAATTTTGGAACAGAAAGAATATAATTTACTGGTATCGTATTATCCAACTATTCGATCTCTGCAAATTTTAAGGAACATTAAAAATTCTCATTTTACGTTTTTACAACAACATGATAATTCAATTCTCATCACCATATAAGGTAAGTGTTCACGATTTAGAATAATTGTCAAGCATTGTCCAGACGGTCTTGCCAAGTTTTAAGAACATAAATACTCTCTTTGATTTTTATTTTTTTATTCTTTTTTTTTCCAGTGCTACAGAAAGTACTCTCTTAGATTCTTCTATCAATAAATCATTATTTAAAATCATGCACATAAATAGAACTTCAAATAGTACATGTTTTGGGATAGAGTTTTTTCCCACTTTTTTTTTAAGTTATTCTTTTTACCAAAAAAAAAAAAGGAAAGAGAACCTGGTTAATCATTGTTTTTGACTATGTAAAAGATGAGGTACTTTTGAATATGTGTCATCAAACTTTGACATTTCTTCAAATGAATGTCACTAAAGCTATTCCGTGAAGGAATAGCTCATAAACAGTGGAATAAGACTTCGAAAAATTTCGTGAAGGAAATTGCTAACAAACACTTAAAAAACAATCATTGCTTAATGTAATTAATTGTGATCTAAACAAAACAACTGAGATATGATTAATGATTAAACCATTATCGATACGAAACTATCTGATCCTACTTTAGGACAAGAAGAGATTAAATAAAAATTTAAAAAAAAAAAGAATCACATCAGATGTTTAATCAATCAATCAAGAAATCATCAACATCCGTCATTTTTGGGAGATGTAACTTACTACTCTTTTGGCTCCAATTGGTCAGTTGGCCATTTATTTTATTTAATATTCTTGAAATATATACTTAATGCCATGCAAGTTGTTATTAGTAATTAAAATTCTATTAAATGATAAACAAAATGAATGATTAACAGAGCCCACGTATGTTGCGTTTGCGGCTTTGGTTAATTAAAGATTTGGAACAAATATTGCACGTGGTAACACGAGGACAACTTTGCTTAAGTTCATTGTTAATGTTGTTGACCCAGATTAAACTTAACTAAGTATACATTTGTTAATGTTGTTGGAGTAATTAGTGGGCAAATTTTAATTTAGAAAAAAGAATGCCCACATGTAAATGTGTCAAGATTCTATTGGCTGGATTTGTCAAAAGTCTCCTTGGAACCATACGTTATTTAACACTTCCTTCCTAATTCTTTCTACTCGGTGTAAGGAATGTTGGAAGAACTTTTTAACCCAACCCCAACAGAAAAAAAAAAAAAAAAAATTGTCGGAGGAAATTATCATTTCTTTCATTGATTAATTTGTCATCCTAATCAGGTTTAATGTATACTAATCCCCACACGCAAAACATGCTAGCCGAAGCCAACTGTTTCCCTGTCACAGTGAGACCAAGGCTTTTGCTCTCAATTCACCGTCCTGCACTTTGTGTTATATCATTCCATTGCCAATAGAGAAATATTGTACTTCCTCTGTCACAAAATTATTGTCCATTTTGAGATTTCATTTTAATACAATTCGAACTAGTAATAAAAAACTTAAACTGGACAATAATTTTGGGACTGAGGGAGTAGTAAAAAAAAGAAACAATTTATATTTTGTACACGTAAAAAATGTGTGCCTTGTAATTAAATGTAATTTTCGCAACTCCAAAAAGCAATTTTGTCTCTAACATTATTGTATTAGATGTGGCATAATTTGAAACCACAAATAGAAAGAAATGCACGTAGCGGTCCAAATAAGAACGCCCAGGGAAAAACACACACACACACACCTCGCTCGGTCTAAATAAAGGACAAAGAAGTAGAGAAAACAAATAGAAGTAGGACATGCAGTAGAAGAAAAAAAAATCATGAAAAAAAGTTTGTTAGAAAACATTAACAAGAACCAAAAAAAAAAAATGTCAACATTTATATCAGCCTTTTACAACAACAAAATTTTTAGGTGGGTTTTTTGTAAATTTTCAATCAAGAAAAAGTGACCTAAGAAGGGACAATTGATGATGAACAATGAAGATACAGATTAGCCCGCATATATATATATGAACTCAAAAAGTCATCATTTTGTTTGTTGTTTTGGACCATAATTTTGTCCTGGAATGAATTTCGGTTTTACTAGGTTTGGCTTGCACCATTAACGTGTTTGTTAGAGGCTATGATAATGTAAACGTGAAACACATGTGTCTACTATATTAAGACCAAATACTATTTTGTCCTGAGTTTAATTTGTCAATATGTTTTCTCCTTTTGTTTTGTTTGTACTCTTGAAAAATGAAAACAAATTACTAGGTCCGAAATCGCTCGGTATTGTTACGGGCTGATCTTAATAGACACTTTTTAAATATTTCATTTGTTACATAAAATTCTTCCAGATTTAATATAGTACTCCCCTCGTCCCAAAAAAATAATTCAGTTTCAAAATTTACAATTTTTTTAATTTAATCAATTCCATCAAGGCACAACTCATTTTATCCTTCAAACTTTCATATTTACCGCTGATGAAAATTAATTGGGACCACACTAAATATATATACTACATTTTAAGTAAATGAAAAAAAAAAAACAAAACTGTAGATTATCCAAAGGAGCCGTCAGTTCTCCGTCCACCGCCGATCGGTCTTCCATATAGAGAAGAGAAGTGCAGCAACGCCAAAAAAGGAGGAGACAGAGGGCAAGTAAAATCAAATCAGAGACGAGACAGAGAACAACAAGAATCCGACGAACTGGAAACAAAGAATTCCGACGAAAATCGGTGAACAAAAACAAGTGATGAACGGCGACGGAAGATAACAACTTTTTTTATGGCAAAGGAGATCTGACAAAACAAGGTTTTTTTTGAACTTACGAAGACCGCCGCCGACGAGCAACACACCTACTGCAACAAATTCGCCGGTAGGGAAGAAGAAAATTGAGATTTGAGACGATGATGGAGATCCGCCGGCAAGGATGAAGATAATTGATATTTGAGACGATGATGGAGACCCGCCGGAAAATTGAGGAGAATATTCCAACGCCGGAAAATTTTTGGAATTATGATTTTGACCGTCACGGTTGGGTGACTCATTGATTTCTTTTATCAAAAAGGATAGTTCGGTAATTTTTTCTATTGCAATTTTGACTTTTGTAAAATTGGATTATTTTATTAGGACAACATTTTTTATGAAACTAGATTATTTTTCTGAGACGGGGAAATATTTTTTATTATACTGTTTTCAATACAATTCATAATTTCTAATACAGTGATTTTTATATGAAAGAAGAACACTAATAGTTTGGAACGCACTCAAACGACGCCAACTCAGCCTATCGATACTTTTTTCTTTTTTCTTTTTTTTTTTTTTTTGAAAATGAGCCTATCGATACTGTTCGGACTAATAGTTGAAGAATGAAACTTAATTAGAATAAAAATTATTCCCTCCCGTCCTTATAATTATAAAATATTTTGATTTCTCCTCTTAAATTTCATCTATTATGTTCTTTCATTTAAAAATAAAATTTCTAAAAATATATTTTTACATTTGTTGTGTTCTTTCAATTATTATAACATATTTTTGTAATTTTATTTTCTATTAGAAAAACACGATAAATGATATTCAGAAAAAATTAAAATATTTTTATATTAAAGACCGAAGAGAGTAGAAAGTAAAAGTCTGGAAGGAAGGAGGTTACCGTTCTTTTTGGAATCTTC